CCCCAAAACCCCAAAACCCCAAAACCCCTATTTCTTAATGCATTCTTGAATTAGTTAGAATATATTTCAGGAGCTTTGTCATCAATCATTACTAGTGGTCTGTCTTTCTCTGCCCTCTCTTATACTTTGCGTTCCGAAGTTTATACCTGTGTCTTCTTCTGTGGTATCTATAAAATATGAACTTCGCCAGTAAGCAAGCATTCCATAAATTAAGAACTTTTTAATTAAGAGAGTTATAGCTAGAGTTATGACTAAACTGGAATGTGGATATGCAACATAGACAGAGGATTAGTGTGTAGTAATGAAGGATGTCATACCTGGAGTCATTTTCTGAAGCATACTCTCATTCATCCTGTAGTCAATATACTCTCCTCCAGCAGAGGCACTAGACTTAGAACAGTCCTGCTCATACGTGGTATTGTATTTAGTAGAGGTCTTTTTAGAAAACGTTGTGATGTTTATCTCATTCTCGTAGGACTGGGACCCTCTATCTTCTAAAAATTATTCATTAAGGATTACTAAAGTTTTCATGGTCTTCATCTTCTTCATGAACTATATCCCTTTCTACATATCTAAAGGACTGGTTCGAGCTGTAATCAGAGGTCTTGTTCACTCGGTTTCCCTCATGAGATCCTATTACAGACTCTTTATAGATTGAGAGGGTCTTTTTAAGATAGTCCATTTGAACATTATTCATGTCTATCTCTCTATTCATCTTCTTAATCTCTTCTTCGAACTCCTTACAGCTGTCCTTGATCTCTTGGAGCTCCTTCTGGAGCTCCTCTTGATTATCGTTCGAAATCTGTGCGTCTTTGTCAGCTTGGAATTTATTTTTGGATATTGATGAGTTCTTGGGTTTCCTTTATAGCGATATTTATTTCAATAATCTCCTCCCGTTTCTTCCGAGTCACTTCTTGATGCTTCTTAGTGCATGTTTGGAAAACTTGGCAAAGCTCTTTGTAATCTTTCTCTGTTTGAAGCAATTTTTCAGATTTCGATTCGATCTCGTTCTGTATCCTCTTGTAGTCATCGATCTTTTTATTGTTATGGAAGTAGAGCAGGAAAGTTGAGAAGCACTGGATGCAGATTTTGGAATGCCCTATGAGCACCTTGCGCTTGGCTTTTGGCTTCTTACTTTGACGCAGAGGAGATTTTGAGTGAGTTAATTTTTGGTCAGCAATTTCAGCTAAATTTTCAGCATATAAACATTTATTTCATCAGAACAGGTTGCAATTTATACAGTAGCCAACATAGTTAACTTCTTTACTATTGGATGCAGCTGTGCAGATCTGACAAGCAGCTTTTAGCTTCACAGATAGTTCTAAACTAGCCTGTTCCTCAGCATTTGATATATTTCTCCGGGATGTAAAGCCTATGGAGCTACCCTTATCAGAACTCTGGGAGGCTAATAAGTTTTGTCTTTCTTCTTCACTTTGAATGCTTTTTGCTGTTGCCCTAGAACTGTAATCTATAACTCTGACTTACTTATTTTAACGAAGACCAATATTTGAAGTATGACTCATAACTCTCGCTAGTGAAGGGCTGGAAGAGGTCAACATTCATTTTGGATTTCCTAATATTCGCTCAGAACTGAGAGTCCCTAAAATTAAACTATGAGTATTACTCCGGCTCAATTGTTGTATTTGATGCTTCTATAAGAGCAAATTAGGCTAAAATTGGTAATTTTTGGGAAAATTTGGCTTGATAAGTACCTATTTCTCTTCCGAATGTTGAAGACTCTTCGTGCTGTTCATCTATTTGGTAAGAATCTAAAGATATTAGAACATTTCCAAGATTTTCAATGTTGCATTACCCTTTTCATCTTCAGGTGGTTCATAATGTAGATCTTCGATATTTCACTCACGTGGCATTGGACTTTTCCGGAGGTCTACAGATTGATTAAAGATACAGAGCTGATGCCCACATGATGAATATTATGACCCTATCTCTAGGAAAAGTCTCATATCTACCCAAGAAATAGTTACTTACTGTCAGATTTGTTTGAACTGAGTTTTGATGAACTGCCAAAATTCCGATTCTTAGATTTTGTTGAGTACAGTCTCTCCCTTTTAACAAAATTATCCTACATATTGATCTACATAAAATACAAGTCTGGATAGCCGCCTTTGGGTGTTTAATAAAGATTTCTCTCTAAAGGTTAATAGAATGCTTACTTCTGGGCATTCTTTCCAACGTTAGGACTCTTGTCCCTTTTCTTTAAGCTCATTTATAATTTATCCATGCTAAAAATGTTATAAGGGGTTTTGGGGTTTTGGGGTTTTGGGGTTTTGGGG